ACCCGGCCCCGGATAAAGCGGATGAAGATGGATGGATGGATGGATTTAGTTGACAAAGAAATTAGTCGCCAGGAACATCCCTAATTCCCAGCATGCTAAACTTGGAATCTCGAGTTTACTTCAACTGGACAGTCCAAAGTAGAGACTCAAGTTGTCCCTGGTAACTAAAGATCAGATGTGGCTGTGGCTCAGGAGGTAGAGTGGGTCTTCCACCAATTGAAATGATCAGTGGTTTGATCACTGGCTCCTCTGTTCTGCATATCAAAGTATCCTTGGGTAAGACCCTGAACCCCAAGTTTTCCCTGATGCATCCATTGGAGTGTTAATGCTAGAAGGCGCTTTAGTGTATAAAAATGTACTTGTATGTGTGTAAATGTGTAAGTGATTTGGTGAAGTTTGTAGTAGAAAGGGCTTTCATTAATCAATTAATAAAAATGGAGAGAAGTGTGCTGTATAAGTACTAGTCTTAAAGATACACACTCTTTCCATTACAATCTTTGTAATATTTACAGAATACTTCTGTAATCATATTTTTGGGCATCAAGATAAACACCCTTTCCACAATGGTACAAAAGTAAAAATACAGCAAAGCTGACTTTGCCAAGAGGACAAGTAAAGTATGTTAGGATATTCAAATGAGAAGATGCTGATAGACTCATTACATACATCAGTAAGGTCAAATGCAAACCACTATTGCCGAGATGATCTTTAACAATAACTCAATTATGTTCTAGCATTGAGGTCACAGCAAGGATGGTGTACTGTTAGACTGAATTATTTCTATTACCCCCCCCCCCCCCCCCCCCCCAACCTGGGGAACACAGTTCATGCTAATCTTTAAACAAATTCCCATTATTTTCCTGTGCCTTTGGTGGAATATTTCTGTGGAAAATCACCACAGCCTTGACAACTTTAAAGATTTCAGCAACATATTAAAAGTATGTGTAACAAATTTTTATGACTTTGAGTTTATCATTTCAAAGGTTCTCTTGACCCTCTGCATCTCCTCCATCCATTAGTCTGTTGTGGGGGCTTTCTGCTCATCACTACTAGCTTCAGCTTCAATAGCCCATTTCCTAGTACCACACCATCCACCATCCCTCCGCTGCAAATGTCCAAACCATCTCAGGTTTCTTAACCCCCCCCCCAATCTAAAAGAAAAAAATAATAATAAATGAATCTCACCAGGACATCATGGCAGATGTCTTTCAGCTCTGTCTCAATCTTCTCCCGGTATTCCTTGGCTAAGGCTACCTTCTTTTCAGAGCCCTCGGTCTTCTGCTCAATGCTGGAGACCACGCGCCACGAGGACCGACGGGCACCCACCACATTCTTGTATGCCACTGACAACAGGTTGCGCTCCTCGTTCGACAGCTCCAGGCCTTCCTCTGTCACCTTCTTCATCAGAGAAGCCATGTCATCATAACGCTCAGCCTGCTCGGCCAGCTTGGCCTTTTGCACCAGTTCCTTCTGAGGTGCCTCAGACATGACTGTTCACTGGAGAATGGGGAACATAGAAAAGGTTGAAATCAGTTAAGTTAAAAAGTAGTATGATAACTCTTCTGTTCCACCAGCAGATACAATTTTTCATTTCAGGGTCATTTAATGCGTCAAAGTGGAAATACATCAATGAATGTGGGTCCTAAAAAAAACTGTACACAGCACCTAACACGTTTAATTGAGTTTCCCCCCGTCTTTCAGTACTTTTACAAGGAACAACAATGATGCATACCGTGGAAGTTTTTCCTGTCATTTGAAGGATTTATTTATAGTCATAAAGAAAGACTGTGTGACTGACTGAAAAAAAATGAAATATTTCTGTTTAAAGGATATCTGTGCTTAAATGAGAAGACCAGTAAACAAAGCTGTAGATCGATTTAAATAATATGCCAACAAAGCCTGCACAGCAACACTACAAGTAGCCACCTAAGCATCTTGTACAGTATTAGCCCTGCAAGTTAAAGGGCAATGTGAGATCCTGTAGGCTTGTAACAGAAGAACTGTGGAATACCAGCTAGAGTTTACAGCCTAAAGCACTATGTAGACTATGCACACATCAACACACAGGAATTGTCATTACTATGTCAATAGCTTACATCCGATTGACCTATCAAAAACAGCCAGTGGGTTTACACAAAAATCAATCCCTTTTTTTCCATTCCAGAGTACATGTAGTGTGTTGTGTTCAGATCCATCCTAACATACAGAAAATAATGCTTTTCTTTTTTCAGTTACAATCTTTGGCCAAATAAGCAAGGAATTTTTAAAAGTTATTATAACCGTCATGTTATCCGTAAGTAAACAACTTCTTATAACCGTAAGAGCACAAGTGTGTGAACAAGGAAGTCGATCTTTGCCCGTCAGTGTACCCCTAGCCTAGGAGCAGAATGCACCATGTTAATATGCATCGACTTTAATCAGCAAATAGATGTGCAGAAGGGATGATAAGAATAATATAATGCCAAGAGATAATTTAGTGGACCCCGTACGGACAAAAATAAGAACTCAATCCTGTATTGCTGGCTCGCCTCTGATGCGCCTCTCTGTTCCTCCGGTACACACACCACACCCTTCCCTGTACCTGTGGCTTGCCCAAAAAGCGGAAGCTAAAGTGCGCAAAGTAAAGCGTGCTTGGACACATTATACTGGCATTAAAGTCACAATTGTAGTCGATACTGACCCAAAAGCGCTTCTCGCAAACTCAAACACACAATCTCACCGTAGAAACGTAATTCAGTGAATGAAAAAACAACCGCTACATTCAGGCCCGCGTGACTCGTTTCAAGTATGGCCCCGTCTATTTCCTGAAAGAGTAACGCCAGGCAAAAGACTTTCATAAACGTGACTACTTCATAGGTAGCCCGTCATGCTCACAATTTCAAATAAAATATCTACACACAATGTTAACTACAAGAATACAAGGAAAAACAGGAGACAGCTGAGTAGGCGCGACGCCTTTAAAAAGGTGTGTATCGCAGTTGAACTAAGCTAGCTGCTCCCCTGGTGGCACACAAGAAAATACATTTCAATTAACCTCGTTTTTCCTTTCAACACTAGGCACCTAATTGTAAAAACTTTCAATTTAAGATGACAAGCATCATACCGCTCAATTAATAAATCGCTAAATACCCTCATTTTAAACAAAATGTGCCGTTTGTACGAGTGCCAAAATTTCAGAGCTTCAATTATTCGACAGACACGCCTTCTCCGTCTGCCATTTCCTTTTGAAACCAGACATTAGCCATATCCCACAATGTAACGTTAGCTAAGCTAGCCATGCCATTGTTCTTTAGATTGATGAGCGTCGCCGCTAGACGCAAACCTGCTACCAACTGGAGACAATGAATTTCTATAGCTAGTCTGATTAATGAAAAGTCAAAAGACATTAAGATGATACATACAAGTTTCAAAATGCACTTTAAAAAGCTGCAAGTCATTTCATACCTGAGTATTGGCAGATGTCAGTGTACCAAGCCACAGCTGATTCTCTCAGCCGCCTGACTGAATGCAGTCCACGGGGTTTCCTTCCAATCACATCAGTCCAAGGCACTGCCGGAGAAAAGGAGGGCTGACGTCAAACGTTACCATGACAACCAAAGCAAAGTAATATGGAAGTTGTAGTTCACCATTACTTCTCCAGTCTTTGTGAGGCAAATGAGTGCATATAATGTAGTCGACAAAAGCACCCTTTGAAGATTTTGCAGTTCATTATTTTACCGCTATGATACAGGCACTTGTGATTAAGCTTATTTTATTGCCTCCAGCAAGCGGAGAATTCCTCTTAATAAGACAGTTAACATCAGTGATATATCCAACATACAGATCTTTGTCTTACTGTATAGCATCATTCTGTATAAGAGTAGAGACTGCAGAAACCAAACACTAAGAGGAAATGTCTCAAGTAGCTATATATATATATATATATATATATACAGATCAATTTTTATTAGAAGAACCATGTCCCTCACTCAAATGCCTCTGTGATATTTCCACAAAATAAAATATTTTCAATAACATTATTTGCTAAGGATGCTGAGGGCATCACAAACTAGAACACAGGACACGGTTACAGTATATCTTGCTTAACAGAAACTACTATTTCTGCATTCTGGTTGGTTTCCAAGGGGAGAGAGTAAAGCTATTTTTGCCCTGTCACATGTTTTCCCCTTGGGCCAAGATTTCAAGCTTGTAACCTATTTAAGAGCAGAGCACATAGTACTGGGTGTAGAAAATCACAGGCATAAATGCAAAGAAGAAAAAAGATCTTCACACTTGTCAGTTTGTGGTCCAGGAAGGGCGTAGCACCAAACCAGAGTCATTTCGCAGAAAGGGAAACAAAAATAAGATTAAGCTGAGTGATTGCTTACGTGGAACCGGTCGGGTGAGTTCTCACTCAGTCCATCAACCTTATCCACAGAACTTGAATGCACATGCACACACATGCACAAGATGAATGGGTACACTGCAAAAAGTCAGTTGTCACAGGGTCACTCAGCTTATGTAACATCTCTGATTGAAACCTTAAAGTGCTACATTAGAGTCCGATTGGTGTAATTAAGCAATAAAAACAGAACTAAACTAGACAATTAATAAAGGGATTAAAAACAACAACAACTACATTTTGATCTTGGATCTACATGTCTTAGTAAAGGTAGGTACTCCTAAAAATCCTGCAGGGTATTTAGATTTCACAATGCTGACGTGGTCCTTCAAAGGTGAGTGACGTATCAAGAGTTTGTTATTTGCAGGATAATTTATCAATGAATAATTCATAAATAATGGCAAAAAAAATCTCAAATGATCATTAAAGAAAAATTAAATGAAAATAATCAGTTTAAAGTGAAAAATACAGACTAACATTTAAGTATGTAGATTGGACAATATGTCATATATATCTGGAGGTGTAGTCACATACATGATACCTGTAGTAGAGTACAGTTTCACGTGGAGTTTTATACGCCTGTAACTTTGAAATTATATTTAACAAACTCTAACTTATATCACTTTAATGGCATTTCTACACATGTAGGAATGGCTATATTTTCTTCAATCAAAATGTGCTAACCTATGCATGAGCAATTGTGATGTCATTGTGTAAAAAATTAATATCATACTATGAAATAACCCCAACATAGAATCAAGTCTTTTGCAGTCTCTCATCTTGTATATGTTCTTTCGTGGTTGTAGTCAGGGAAGAGACAATGAGAAAAGCTGTTTTAAGGCCTTCTTCACAAAACCTGTTGGTCCAGCAGAACACCACTCTGACCCCACTGTGCACCAGTCACAAGATGAGCTCCAGGCTTCCTCATCAGTGTATACAGAGCCAGAGGTTGCCTGAAACAATTCACCCTGTAGATGTTACACTACAGTAAATCAATAAATAACCAGTCTTAGAGGAAGCAAAGAGTGTGAACTATAATAAATGGTAAATGGCCTGTATTTATATAGCGCTTTACTAGTCCCTAAGGACCCCAAAGCGCTTTACATATCCAGTCATCCACCCATTCACACACTGGTAATAGCCTTTTCAATTTTATAGCTCTAATATTCTGCTGACATTTTCCACCCTAATTACCAACAGGATGTGTGATTTAACAAGGAAGTATGAATACAAAAAAACAAACAAAAAACCCCACCTGTGTGCCAATTTATGTAACATTCCCATTAAGCAAGGAACTCATTATGCTTGTGCTACATTTCTGGTTCATAAATATAGAGATTTTACCATCAACAGTGCAGCTGAGCAGAAGATCTTTGACTCATAATAGGGTATGAGCCGAGAAGCTAATGAAACCAATTGCGCAGATTAAATTTGTTGGTGTTACCTGAAACAGATGGAAGAGCGGAGGCAGACGAAGAAATATACCAAGAAATATATCAAACACACCAAATAGTCGGCAGGATTAAAATTGTAGAAACTGTCCAATCATGTTGATTGCCCATAATAACGAGGAAGGAATAACAGCTAAGAAAAGGATGAAGAGTGGAAAGGCAGCTGATCCAGATGACACACCTGTGGAGGGTTGGAGATGTCTAGAAGAAAGATCATTGGACTTTTTAACCAGATTGTTTACTACAGACGATGCATGAAAAACGAAGAAGAAACATGCTGGCAAAGTATGTGAGGGGTGGTGCAGGACAGGTATGAGGGCAGTGAGACAGTGATGAGCTCGTTCTTGTTTGCAAGGTCAGATTGGAGTCTCTGTGGACTATGACATTTACACATGACTTTGTGATCTGTAGCGAGCACAGGGAGCAGGTGGAAAAGCTGTTTTCTACCACCTACTCGGCGGAGCATTCCTCTAGAGCAAATAAGAGGGATACAGACAGAAAAGTAAAGTTCCAAGGAGTAGAGGTACTGACGATGGGTAAATATAAATACACGAGATGAACATTTTGAAGCAAAAGCGACACAAAAGAGATGAAGAAGAGAGTGTAGGGAGGGTGGGGTGAGTGTCAGAGGTGAAATGTTAAAGGGAATGTTTACAAGATGATAGGGAGACCTGCTATGATGTATGATTTTGAGACAGTGGCACTTACAGAAAGGCAGGAGGCCAAGTGATTGACCAGATTGGAAAAAATATGAAGGACAGCTCAAGGTGAGATGGCTTGGACATGTACAGAAGACAGACGGTGGAGATACCGGACAAACAATACTGAATTTGGAGCTGTCGGTTAAGAGGAAGCCCACAGTAGGTCATGCAGATGGTTGGAGTAACAGAAAATGATGGAAGGGACAAGGTGAGATGGAGCAGATGCTGTGGTGACCCCTAAGGAGCGGCAGAAAAAAGAAGCCAAGCTTCCATTAAGTTTCCACCTACTGTAGGGGAACCTAAGGCAGAATTTAGTAACTTTCAAAGTTAAAAACACAACTTGGTAATATTAATAAAAAATAACTTTATTCAAAGGCTATACATTACATTTTGTGGACAAAGATATGATTATTACAAAAAGTAAAAACATGGCTGGTTGTCTGTCCAGACTTTAGCACAGTGTTACAATGTCAGTGGTTAATGACCAACAGGTCCAAATGTATTGAAAATAGTTCCTTCCAATGAATTAAAACGGTCTTTGCCTGCTATGATCAACTTATATAAAATAAGGTAAAGTAAGATAATGTATGCTGTAATTTAGTTTAGACTTTGCAGGTTCAGAGCTGAAATACTGCAAAAGAACACCAAAGAGCGCAAGACTGCAATTGGGATTGTTTTCACATACACCATAGAGATGACAGTGAGACAAGTTACACTGCAGAATACATACAATAGCTGTGCACAATTATGTCACATGTATTACTACAATGACCAACTCTGGGGACAGGAGTTCATTAGTGTTGTCATTTACAACACCCAGTGCAAACCTATTTTCAGTCGACATACCTCTTATAATAGGATCAAAGGTAAATATCCAGATGTTTACTGCAGCAGCAGAGTAGGAACATGGAAAGCTTTGCAGTGATCAGACGTGTAGTGCCCTGTCTGCAGAGCTTTTACAAATTTTGCACATGACAAAAACATATTTTTTGACACAAACAAAATTAGTTTCATGATAATCTGAGGGGTAAATGCAATGCACAATTTCAGCAACTGTGCAGCACAGTGCATTTGACACATTTTTCACTTCAACAACAATAGACTCATCATTAAAAAAATAATGGAAGCAAGCCAAAAAATATATGTGTTTATATATATAGATATATATAATCAGTGCAGATTAGAAGTAAATCTGAATCTAATAGAAAGAACACAGCATTAGTGGTTATGAATGTGACTTTCCAAGCACATTAATGAACTCTAGTCACATTCTGGATAACTATTATTTTGACATCAACCCTTCTGCATCACAAATCCATCCCAGTCAAAACCCATAATGGATTTCACATTACACTGGATTTGGCAGATAACTTCCAATTATCATCAACATCTTTGTTCATTTGAGCCAGTGCCAATTCATCTTGTATTCAAAGCTTGCTGTGAAACAGTGGGAGACCTGAGATAGTGGTGGAGCCCATGAACAAGCTACTCTTGTGAGCATAACATTTTGAAATGATCAGATTTTGCAAATATTGCATACAATCAAAAGTGGAACACATACATTTATGCCAAGAGAGGGTAGCTGTCTTCAGTCCAATTGATTGTGTAAAATCCCTACATAAGCACACCCATACATCAGTTAATCATCATGAGCAATAACTGAAGATTATCTGAAACACCTCAAAATGTAGAAGCCTGTCCTGAGTTGGTTCCAACTGCCTTACAGAAAGAGGTTAATCCATTACGCCTCCACACCAACCAACTCTGGGGGCATTGGAGACTTTGGATGTTTGCTTTCAAAGTGCTGCTTAAAGGTCTTCGGGTCGGGCATTTGTGTCTGGTAAAGAAAAAAAAAAGAAAAGATGACATCAATGAGAATGACATCAGTTTACTCAGATATATCAACAAAACCATAATATGAGACAAAAGGTGTTTCACAATATGATCTCGACTGGTTGGATATTAGATTACATTACAAACACCAGCTTGTTTAGTCATTGTTAAGGCTTTGAGCTGCTGCCGTTCTGTAATCGCTTGGATAAGTGATAAATGGCTAAAGGAAACACAGAAACGTATTTACAGGTAATACAGAAAGTCACGTTGCCTGGTGAGTTTTCCAGTTAAAACATGTAAACAGGATGTAGCATGACAGCTCATGTTTGACTTCAACCTGGTCAGTCAATCCAGGAGCAAACACAGGCTGGTGAAGAGGAAAATCGCCTGGAGTTCTGACAAATTTCAAAAGCACTCCGATTCTGGACAAGCACTGAAGAGAACATGACTGTGAAATGATCTCAGAAACAGAAAATCTGTTTGTCCCACTGAATGCAGGTAAAATCATTAACAAAGTGCCTGCATTTGTCGCTTCATTCTTCCAGGAGGAGCAGAAGCTGATGTAATTTATGCTAAACATTAGGCAGTGCTGTGCCAACCGAGCAGCACTGCATGCCACCACCTGTGTGTCAGATGACGGCAGTGACAAGAGAAGCTGACCGTCCTTGGCACAGGTGTGAAAAGAGAAGCAAAAGGTGTATGCGGGTATTAGAAAGGGATTTTAACCACTTTTCATCACACCTTTCTAACTATCGTAGAGATGTAGTTGAAACTTGAAGGGGGGGGGGCGGGGGTTTGAGGTTACTATGACCGGTTAGCTTGGCATACTTTATCAATAAGCTGTCAATTATAAACCTGCACAAATCCATGCTGCCCAGGTAAAACAGCACTGGGATGAATCCAATCTCTGTTGTGATCTGCTTTCAGCTTGTGACTCACTTCTGTTCTACTCTTAGTGTTTTATATTAAATTGTTTACAAAATATAAGAAATGCCAAGCAATTCTAACTCAGTCCAGGAAAGCTTACTGGCCTAGACTTTACTGAAATGAGATCATACCTAGTAATCACATAACATGGTGAAGTTATTTAAGGTAGCTGGCTTGGGAGGTATAACTTCCAACTTCAGTGTTACAGTGAAGTGTGAAATGAGATATGGTATAGGTATTGACTTAATCACATTGCAAACAATATGATCAAATCCACTGCAGTGATTTGCTAGCTTCCTGTGTAGTGAGTTCCATCCTAACTACATGGTTAAATGTTTGCTAATGCTGCTAATGTCAGCTTTAGCCCATACCCGACACACGGTGCATGTGTATACTAAAGCAGCCTTAGCTGCAGCCTTCTGGTCATGGCCTTTACTCTTCTTGATCTCTGCCTGCTTTTTGGCGTTTTTCTGCTGGGACTGGAACTTTTGGTGCCCACGGGCCATTTCTGATGTTCCACCTGCCAAAAATATACAACAATTTAATCAACACAGCACTAGCAAGACGATGACAAGCCTCTAATACAATGACTTTAGGGAAGGTGAAGGGAAATGCAAGGCACCAAGGGAATAAAAGCCACACCATCCTGAAATGCAGAGAAGTGACAGCAGCTGAGGGTTTGGATTAAGCACTATTAATTATTTACAACTGAAGCATACATGTCTCCTAACTTAACTAGACTCCAAAACGTGCAAGGCAGCAGCGGCTGTGAAACGCCGTTTGGAACTAGGCTAACTGTTGCTTTTTGGGTCACATGCATCAGGCAATTATCTCGGAAATTTCCCCAAAGAAAATCTAAATTCTCATTTTCAAAGTTATTATAGACAGACTATAAGATTTAGGTCAGTGTTGGGACTGTAGGAACTCTGTTTCTGAGCGACATTTTTAAAGCGGAACTTGTTTACTATCATCAAACCAGAATCAGTCAGCTATTCTAATAATATGCATGTCACAAAATAAGTGTTGATGTCTCTTTTCAGTTGCCACATTGCATTACCTTAATCAGCAAATATTTACGTCAAAATATCGTCCACCACTGACCACCGTGGATGATGTAAGAACAGTCCTCGCCATGCAGTGCCCATTCAAGGCTAACGTTATTTGAAAATGCTGCTTTAGTCTTAACAACTTCAACTACCGTTTTTCTCACTTCGGAGACATCTTGATAACACTAAAAAAAATTTTTTAGAAAAAAAATGTAACCATACATTTCTTTTCGTACTAATTCAGAGACACTAGCATTCAGTTAGCCGGTTGCTATCCGGTAGCTTGGATAATACATTGACACATACAATGAACACGACTTTAAGTAGACACTGAGCACTAAAACGTACTACTAGGCGTTTTGTAAATACCTTACCAGTTAAAAAAAGTACTTGTATCAGTGAAGACAATCACTAAACTGCAGCAGCACTACGCTGAGTCCTCTGGAACTCTCGCCTATCCCTGCCGTTTGGCGTCACCGCACTAGTGCGCATGCCCAAACCATGAACTATGATGCATTCAAAGATTTCCAGTAAACCCCAAATCATGACAGTTCTACACGAATCAAGTTGGGGGCTTTACTGACAGCACATGAAGGCTCCATCTTTCTTTACAGGAGGAACATTTCCCAGGAAGAAAAATTGGCGTAATAAAACGTAAAGTAGTTATTTAACCACAAAAATACATTTCCGAACAAAACAACAAGAATAGCAAAACACCTTTGAAATCAGCAAATGTATAACAGTTTTCACTTCAAGGTGCAAGACAAATGCATGCCACAAGGTGTCGCGATACAACACAAAGGAACAGCCACCATAGTTTTCTCTTACGCCAATTAACAATTAAGATAATATTCATAAGATTTTGTAAAATACATTTTACGACACCGTTAATATCACCAATATAGCCAATTAAAATATCAAATTGAGTTGGAAGAGCGTGTGTTTTCGTTTTTTTCTGTTTTGCTGCTCACGGGCTTGTTTTTAACACACACAGAACCCCACCAAAAACAACACAAAACGGTACATACCGTACAATATATATAATTTAACGTTGGGCAGTCCACCTTTTACCTATTTTTCAAGACACGCCTTTTCGCTTCCCATTCACCAATGGGGAGCAGTCCTGTACTACGACGCTTAGAAGTATATCACCAATCACAGGGATAGCTTTCGTTTCCTCGTTTATCCTGCCTCAGGTGCTGTACTACCTCGGTCTTAATTGATCACCTTTTCCAAACAGAATACACCCCTGTCTCCAGTTATACGGATTATTATCGATTTGTTTTGTTTTTGTTTGTTTGTTTGCTTTTAATATGGACATTTTCTTCTTACACTATGGGCATCGGTAAATGTGTTCGTGAGGATCCAGATGATTTCATTGGCGGTTTTTAGTGAGACCTTAAATAGAGTCAGCCTTTCCCGGGCTCATTTTTGCAGTTTCCCACACAAACTTACCTGCACTAACTTGAAAGTCCAGTTTCTCTAGCAATCCTAGAAAACAGCAGGGACGTGAAGCAACATGGACCTGGACAGGTAAGAGAAAGTTTTAGCACCACTGATAATAACTTCTGTCAGTTTTAGTCCAGTTCCTTTTAGATATATTTTTTGTCTTCTTGCTATCAGTAGATGTGCACTGGAGCCTATGCTATATAAACACCCCCAGAGACACAAATTACTAAACTAATATAATATAATTTATTTTAGAATGAGTTAATTACCGTTCACGTACCTGCAGATAAACGTTACTGGTTTTGTTTATGCTTTCATTATTATGAAAGATTTCACAAAAATTTGAAAATTATTAACTACCACGATGTCAGACGAAATTTATCTTCATGCCAATATCTCTGAATGACTTCATTTCCACTGATTCATTTTTAACGATATACCAGCAAAAGTGGACTTAAATAAACATGCTCCACATGGAGCAGGCAATTTGAGTGAAGTCTGGTGAGAAACAGCCTGGGGCAATTTTAGTGGCTTGGCACTGGCTTCTGTTAATGAAAGAATGGCTTTGCAATAATAACATGCCTCTCTGTCTTTTCCCATCGGTCGTTCCCAGCAAAAGGCTGGTGGTGGTGGTACCAAACGAAGTGTCGGTGGCCCACCGCAAACCGCTCAACAGTGAGGATGAGGCATGGAAAACCTTCCTGGAGAACCCACTGACAGCTGCCTCAAAGGCCATGATGAACATCAATGGAGATGAGGACAATCCAGCAGCTCTAGCGGTGCTGTATGACTACTATAAGGTATGAAACAAAGAAGAATAAAGGATATCGCCACTTACAATTATCTGATTTATTTTAGGCATGGAAAATCTTCCTGGAGAACCCACTGACAGCTGCCTCAAAGGCCATGACGAACATCAATGGAGATGAGGACAGTCCAGCAGCTCTAGGGGTGCTGTATGACTACTATAAGGTATGAAACAAAGAATAATAAAGGACACATACAATGATCTGATTTATTTTAGGTCTGAATTGCTTCTGGACTTGTCATAATCCTTTCAGGTTCCCAGAGAGAAGAGGTATACACCCAGTGCCATTAAGCCCACAGAGCCTTCTGCTCACGGGCACAGCAACTGCGGAAAGTTGGACATGGTGGGTCACCAGCTTCAAGCTATGGTGTCACTGCCTGTTAACCTCTCTTTAAACAACAGCACAACCACTGAGCACCAGCAGGGCTACAAATATGGAGCTGAGAGCCACGCAGGAGATTCTAGAGAAGGAGATGGTAAAGGTGGAGAGAACGGACCTCTTGCTCTGGTCAAGACAGAAAGCCAGGCCCCCATGCCGCTTTCATTTTCTGGTGGCACCTGCCAAAAAGAGCCTAGAGACCAAATAAGGAGGCTGTATGAGCAAAGCTATGATATGTCCCTCACCGGATATTTGAAAGACGAACAGAGGAGCAGTCTGGACGGCACGTATGAGGAGCCAGTGGAAAAAGAGGTCAGACCTAATCTGAACAGAATTGTTGGTTGTTGCTATACAAGTTTTGTTGATACTGATAAGATTTTTTTTTTATTTGATACAAACTCCTTTTTTCATTATTATTTCTTTTTACATGAATAGTTTGCTGATTAGTATCTTCTTTTACAGATGTACCACAAAAATTCTTCCTCGGGAGTCGATGAATTTCACCACAGTCTACCAGCGTAAGTTTAAAAACATGGCGATACTACAAAAAATTTAGAATAACATTTATGTGCACACATCTTATCCTGAGAGAAGAATGACTATGAATTTTAGGTGCTTTTTAAAAAATAATTTGCCAACAAATCTCATGTGGGGAAAAAACATAAACACTGTTTAAGTTTCCCCATTTGCTGTGATTGCTCTGTGAAGATGCAACCCCATTCATTGCATCACGAAGGGCATCCGGCGTAAAGCTATCAAATCAAAACATGCAAAACATTATAAACAAAATAAAACCTGTAAAGTCAGTCACAGTTCCCTTAACACTACACTGCAGGCGGAACTTATGGAACCATTGTCAGCTTTGGATTAACCCTCATTCAGTGCTTTGGAAGAATGGTGTATGTGGGGGTTTAAGTCTAAAGAAACTGCAATGTGTGTTTTTTAAGGTTAACCAGGGTGTCGGTGTGGTTCAATGAATCTACGCGGCCCAGACACACACTCACTGGCCACGCTGTTTGGTACAAAATGCAATGCAATGTTCAATTGCTTGTTAACACAATGTGATCTGATCAGCCAATCACTTGGCAGCAACTGGATGCATTCAGACAAGCAGACATGGTCAAGATGAACTGCTGAAGTTCAAGTTAAGCATCAGAATGAAGAAGAAAGGTGATTTAAGTGACAGAGGTTGGGGGAGAATGGCTAGACTGCCTTGAAATGTTAGGAAGGCAGCAGTAACTCAAATAACCACTTGTTCCAAAAAAGAAGAGCATCTCTGAACACACAACACACTGAACTGTGACGCAGATGGGCTACAGCTACAGCTGCTCTGTCCGCTAAGAAGAAGACCGTAGGAATCAAAATCGGACAATAGAGGATTGGAAAAAACATTGCGTGGTCGGATGATTTTGATGATTTCGGCTCCAATAGGTGGATGGTTAAGACCTTATTTAAACAACATGAAAGCATGGATCCATCCTGCACTGAATCAACAGTTCAGGCTGGTGGTGGTGTGACGGCGTGGGAGATATTTTCTTTGCACTGCGGATGCCTTAGTGCCAACTGAGTGTCGCTTACACTCCACAGCACTACCCGAGTGTTGTTGCTGACTACGTCCATCCCTTTGACCACAGTGTACCATCTTCTCATGGCTGCTTCCTGCAGGATAATGATGTCAAACTCAAAGCATCTCAAAGCGGCTTCTTGAACATGACAATGAGTTCACTGTACTCGTGTCCGCAATTATCAGATCTCAATCCAGCGGAGCAACTTTGGGTAGAACTGGAGATGTTCATCATGGATGTGCAGCCGGGAAATCACGGCATGTCATGGCAATGTGGAAAAAAGTCTCTGAGGAAATTTTCCAGCACTTTGTTTAATCTATACTATGAAGAATTAACGCAGTTCTGAAAGCAAAAGGGACACTAGTAATAAAGTTTTTGTTGAGTGTATGTTGGGCTCAAGTTTGTTTAGAGTCGTAAGTGTCTTTAAACAGTTCCTCGCAATCTTCTTATCTGCTCATTTCCCCCCCCCCCCACCGATTAAAATGTTGATTTAAGTATTTACCTCTGGACAGTAATGTGTTTAGTATGTCAAAGGTAATGCTGACTATCTGCTGTTGCTTGACCTCTTTTACTGACTCCCATACACCAGCATTAATCTGCTCTCATAGAGTTAAAGTTTTAACAAATTCCTCCATTTGGCTGTGAATGCTTTAATTTGATAATATGACAGGAATAGATTTTTTCCTAGTGCACAAGGATCAACTTAAAGAGCTTTTCTAAAATGAAAGAGAAGCTGGTATATAATTCGATTTTTAGATTAGGATGTCCTTCATTTTAAAAGATCTCTTGTGTCTTAAGGCATAAATTTTTATCAAATATTAATATTGTCAAGGATTGCAAGAGTTCAATGACTATAGTCCAGTTTCCTTATTGGCACGCACAGGATTTAGACTTCAAAGCCTAAAATATATATTATGAAGAGTTTATAAGGCTATATTTAACAACATTCAGTTTTATATTTTACTTTCACCTGTCATTGTTTTAGTAGTTATCTTACCAATGGCAGTTATGGAGCCCATTATGTCCTTACAGTGACAGCTTCCGGTACAACATGGAGGCCACGTTATCTCTCCGGCCACGCCAAGGAGAAGGACCCATGGCCTACTTGAACCGCGGCCAGTTCTACCCTTTGACGCTCTCTGCGGCCGGCTTCAGATCATCCCTGCGTCAGCCCAGAGGCAAAGTCGGAGTGACATCAACCCATGGAGCTGATAGGAGTCTATCCAGGAGTGATCAGTGCACCGTGGGAGGCTCTGAGCTGCCACAGAACAGTATTGTACAGGTGAGTGAGGGAAGATGGAGGAGGCTGAGGACTTTATCACTCAGTAGTGTGAAATATTTGACCTTATTCTACTTCATATTTTCCCGTAGAGTGTCATCATGGTTGTCTTTGGGGAAGACAAGGTCAGAGATGAGCAGCTGAAGAATTGGAAATACTGGCACTCACGGCAGCACACTGCCAAGCAGAGAGTGCTGGACATCGGTAAGACGTTCTGTCCTCGCTACCTGTACATTAATGGTGTAGATGGGGACTACTAGATATTTTCACCTAAACCTCACAAAACCATTTAAGGAGAGATTAAGTAGGTGGCAGTCTTACAGGAAGCTCCAGGAGAATCCTGTCACATATCCAGAGCTGAAACCTGATATAATTTGAATAACAGTCAAGCCTGAATTCCCACAGGAGTGCTGTGAAAAGACTGCTTATGGGTCTATGTTTGCATAGACGTTAACAGGAGAAATAGGTGGGGGCTTGGACTGTAGCCATATCATGTGCGTTCAGCAAAAGACGTGCCCCAGCCTGTGGCTTAAAACCGAAAGGAATGAACCAGGTGTCATAAACTCTGGTGAATTTTCATGGCAAGTATTGGCATGAACTTGCCACAGACAAGGTGGGAGAGTGAAAATAAAGCAGTGTATTTGGAGTTAATGGTGGAGTGTTGTGAACTGTTGAAAATATGAGATAATGAAATAGACATGCTGCCTGTAATGGGATTTAAAGACAAAATGCTACCGTAGGAGAGAAACAGTGGGATGTTAACTGTTATTGTTGTTCTGACTCTGAGGGAGCAGTTTCCTACTTTGGGAAATGATCACTACCTCAACCAACTACTAAATAAGTATACTGTATGTCTTTATGAGTTCTTGGATCAGTATGAACAATCAAAAATTTAGTTGACACTCAGTCAGGGAACAAATTATTTGAACCTCTACTGATTTTTGTAGCTTTGCCCACTAACAAAGAAAAGATAAGTCTATAGTTTCAGTGGTAGGTTTATTTGAACAGTGAGAGACAGAACAATAATAAAAAAGAGAGAGAAATAAATTCAGATTTTCATGAATGAAATAAGTATTTGATCACCATCAATCAGCAAGATTTCTGGCTCCCAGGTATATTTTATCCAGGTAACGAGCTGACATTGGGAGCCTTCTTAACTTGTTACCTGTATAAAAGATAACTGTCCATAGAAGCAATCAATCCATCCAGATTCCAAACTCTGCACCATAGCCAGGACCAAAGAGCTTTCCGAGGATGTCAGGGACGAGACTGTGGACCTACACAAGGCTGGAATGGGCTACAAGACCATCGCCAAGCAGCACCATCGTTGGTGCGATTATTCGCAAATGGAAGAACCATAAAATAACTGCCAATCTCCCTCGGTCCGGAGCTCCACGCGAGAGCTCACCTCATCGAGTTTCAGTGATAATGAGAACGCTGTGGAACCAACCCAGAACTACTCGGGAGGAACTTGTCAATGATCTCAAGGCAGCTGGAAACCCAGTCACCAAGAAAACAGTTGGGAAGCACATGTACAGACCACTGAACATCTCAATGATTCAGAGGAGGACTGGGTAAAGTGTTGTGGTCAGATGAGACCTATTTGGCATCAACTTAACTCGCCATGTTTTAGGAGAAAGAATGCTGCTTACGACTCCAAGAACACCGTCCCCTCCATCAAACATGGAGGTGGAAACATTATGCTTTGGGGGTGTTTTTTCTGCCAAGGGGACAGGATCAAGGGAGGACAGATGGGGACATGTACTGTCTTGGGTGAGAACCTCCTTCCCTCAGCCAGGACATTGAAAATGGGTCGTGGGTGGGTATTCCAGCATGACAATGATCCAAAACACGAAAGGTAACAAAGGATTGGCTCAAGAAGAGGCATGTTAAGGTCTTGGAGTGGTCGAGTCAGTATCCAGACCTTAATCCTATAGAAAATCTGTGGCGGTAGCTGAAAGTTCCAGTTGCCAAACATCAGGCATGAAACATTAATGACTTGGAGACGATCTGCAAAGAGGAGGGTCTCTCTCTCTATTATATAGAGATATATAGCAAGATACAAAGATAAATGTATAGTTGTTTTTGCTATGCAAGTATGTTTTGAAAAATTCACACACAAAAAAGAAAATGTGTCTCCAGACAAATGTTAACAGATCTAACTTCTCCTGTTTTCTCCGTTTGCCTTCAGCTGACTACAAGGAGAGCTTCAACATCGGGAACGTGGAGGAAATTGCCTACAATGCTGTGTCTTTCACATGGGATGTCAGTG